ACCAGCATTTTACACTTGAAACTTCACAGCAAAAATGCTGTGAAAGTGACTTTTTAAAACCTTCACAGTGTTTTTGCTGTGAAGGTTCGACTTTTTAAAACCTTCACAGTGTTTTTGCTGTGAAGGTTCGACTTTTTTAAAACCTTCACAGTGTTTTTGCTGTGAAGTTTACGTGTAAAAACGTGGTCTCACGGGTCTCACGAAAACAAGCTGGTCTCACGTGAACCCAACCCTATATATATATATATATATATATATATATATAATTTTTATGACATCTTCAAATTTATGTTTTATTAAGAAAAACATTATTGTTTGCTCAAAACCTCATAAATTCGTATTATAACATCGACGGAAACAAAAAAAGATGAAATATTAAAATCGAGATATATTTCATTACATTACATTAGTATTCATATGTATATATAGAATTAGTTTTTAGAGAATTTTTAATTTTAATGAAAAGGATATGATGTGTTTTAGGGTTTTCCATGATCAAAAAACAAAAGTATATCATTCATAATAAGAAAACTTAAAAATTGATGATAGGTTGTAATATTTTAAATAGAGTGATAAAAGAGAACCCTTCATTTAAAACCATCTAATAAATATATCTTATAATTAATATCACTCATGTGGATTTTTATATTCAACATAAAGAATCATAATCTATACTATATTATAAAGTATTTGATAAAAATTCTTAAAAATCATCTTTTATACATGAAGTATTGCTTATTGATGCATATTGCTTAGAATTCAAGATTACAAGTAATTGTGCATAAGTACAACTTATTAAAGCTTCATTTTTAAATTCGTATAACTAACTGCAGATAAACATAATCAAATACAGGATAAATATTTATTTTAAATATAAAAAATCTAAAATATAATTAAGATAATTATTGAGCTATAACATAATATTTAGTTATTATCTTTATAAAAATCATGTTATTAAACCAAAAAAAAAATTATTTCGTTATTAAACTTAAATTGAATTATAATAAAAAATTGAATTAAAGAAATTACACAAAAAAGTGAGAACTTTTATATATTTTTTTTAATTTTTATGATATCTTCAAATATATATTTTATTAAGAAAAACATCATTGTTTGCTCAAAACTACAAAAATCATACTATAATATCGACATAAACCAAAAAAATAAAATGAAACATTGAAATCGAGATATATCTCGTTGCATTGCGCGAGTACCATTATAGTAAATATAAAAACAAACTCATGGAAGATATTTTAAAATATATAATTTGATTTAAAGATAGTTAGGCCCGATAAAAGCAAGATGATTGATAAATTACACTTATAAAGTTTAATAACTAAACCATGAACTAGGGATGGAAATAAGGCTGGGGAACGCATCCGACCATGATTAATGCCCCTATGTCTCGTCTGCTATAGGAACCTCAAATCCTTGACAACTAATATCTGTTATACACCTCGTTTTGACCAAATTAATTTGATATTTTTCAATTAAAAATAAATAAATACGACATGATAATCATTTCACATCTCATTGTTGATCTCTCCGAATTTTTGTAACATTTGTCGTAACCGATAACCCATATGAATTTATGTGATTGCTTCTTCTTTTTTGTCCCCGTCCACTCTTTTTTTAATAATGGGTATGATAGCATTATCCTTGTAACATGTGTCATTTCACCTTCTCCTCGATGGCTCATACACATCATGATTTCCTCTGCCAAAGTATCCCCCTTCCTTTCTCATAATCAAGTCCTACTATACACTATCATATATTATATACGACAATGAACGCCATATATAGATCCTTGCCAGATTTTTTATACTTCTCCAACAGACACATGAAGAGATGGATTGCTCGATAGTTGATCTTTGACGCTAAACCGAATTAGTTATACGTCATCTTCGTTTCGTACTACACCCCCTACCCTCGAGTCATCCTCTCCCATAACTTCATGGTGTGGCTAAGTAGTTTAATGTCGCCATAGTTCCGCAACTACGACAATAAAAACAAAGAGAATTTAACTGTTCATAAATTATTTCATCACAATATGCAAATGAAAACAACGTAAAAGTCAAGGGAAAATCTGTAAATACTTAAAATATGAGGGTGTTTTCCGCAATCAAGTGAAAGTTGGAGGCATATGGCACCGGAAAAACAGAGGCATAGAGAGTAGACCAACAGCAATGGCGAACATAGGGGTTTTGCAAGAGTGGTTCGACCGAGTTGACTCAGACAAATCAGGGAACATCACAGCAGTTCAACTCCAGGTTCTTTGCTTCTAACCGTTTTTATAGTCTAAGCTGTTCCGATCCCAAGATTTTGAATTCTGTCGATGGAAAATTGACGAAATTTGCATCTTCAGAGAGCTCTTGCCGTTGGAAATCTACAATTTCCCATCACCATTGTTCAACAAATGGTCAGGTTAGCTTTTTGAATTTAATCGTTGATCAGATTTCTTCTAGTTACGGTTTTGTTCTTTTGTTAAGTAAATTGAATTGAAATTTCTATCAGGAAATTGGTAATTTTGATCAATGAAGCCAAACTAGAAATCTGAGCTAAATTTATGATCTTCGTCTCTGGAGAATACCGTACTCGATTTCTTAGTTATAAAATTTGCAACTATGACCATGCAAATTGCAATGTCATAATGTACCTCTTTTTCCCTTTAAGCAAAGGGCGTATATTTCATGTTTATAATATGCTTAGGGAGGTTTTGTATTTTCCCTATTTTCTGCAGGATGTATGATTTTGACAGGAATGGAACCATGAGTTTTGAAGGTAAAACCTCATATCTGTAATATTTAATGCAGCTTAATGTATTATATTTAGTGAACATTTGCATTAGTTTCTTAGTTGCAGAATTAGAACATGACGTATTTTGTTCAAAAAAAGGTCTCCATTTAGTGTATAATGGTGAACCACAAGTCTACAACTTGCACACATATATATCTCAATCTAATTGTCAAATGAAGGTGGCTTTTGGTTTAATCTGGTAAATTAAGTACAACTGGGGATTATTCCCTTTAGAATATAATTCATTTGGACACTTAAAAATAAACAAAAAAAGAAGAAGATGCTTTTGTTTACATTATCTAAAGTTTTCGTATAGCCTGGATGCAACTTGTAATTAGTGTAAAGTTCCTTTCTTTTCTTTATATAAGTTTTATGCTGAAAGTGGCTATCTTACACTCTTTTTGACTTGGTTTTTCTTTTTATCTCCTCAGAGTTTGTGGCTCTTAACAAATTTCTTCTAAAGGTTAGAACTTCTCCATGTTGTACTCCTATTCCAAAAAGATATTCGCTGACTTTTGACTTTTCATGCAAAATTTTAACTTAAAAATTGGCTCTAATTCGAAAAAAACTTATGAAACATAACAAAACTACAGTAGACTTCACAAGTACTATAGATAGCAAGAAACAGATACTTGTTTTTTTACCAGAATCAATAAAAGTTCTACATCAAAAGTTTATAGGTTTGATCTCAAAAGATAAAGCGTACCATGCTTCTTGTGACAGAGGACCTTCTGGATATAATTGTTCTTTCTTCCTTGTAACTAAGCTTTGATAGTTTAGCTGCAACTTGTGATATGGAACTCTGATGTGTCACACTTCAGTGATCTTATGAAACCATTCATCTGTCCCCTGAGAACTAAAAATCTAGTATGATATTGAAACCAATGCAATTACCACCTTGAATGCTAATATTTTTGTTCGATGCTGTCATATAATCCTTTTATCTTAAAATCTGGCATGTTTATCATACGCTTTATAAAGGTGGATAAAATCGTGTATTTTTTATGTTCTATGTAAGAGTAAATAGCATTTTGAAACAATTGTACTTGGAAATTCCTTTCCAAACAATCAACATACTTGTTAAAACTGCAAATAAAACACCCGAGTTGGCAAAAATAGCGGAAGAATTACTATAGTATGTTGAAAAATCGTGGCAAGAACATTATAGCTAGAGTACTCTTATATATAAGCACTCTCTACATATTGAACTGTTTTTTTTAGCTACAGAAATCTGTAAAACCCATCTGATTATGAAACATTTTCAACTTTGTTGCAGGTTCAACAAGCCTTCTCAGACTTGGAGAGGTAATAGATTCATGTATCTTTGAGTGGTTCGTAACATTTTGATACCAAGGCTTCCTTTCTCTTCTCTTTGTTTTTTCCTTGGTCTCCCTTTGTGTATGATTGATTTATCTGAATTTAACAAAGTCACTCAAAATAAACTTCTAAAAGAAGCTTTCTTTTTTGAGCTTCTAATGACGAAGCAGAAACAATACCGTAGCCATTTTATGATGAGTATTTCACATTGGGGTGATGAGGGATCTTATATACCCACATCAACTTTGGTATTTCACTTGTGACATGATAAAGTTCATAGGCCCATCTTATCCATCAACTTTCAATGAAACTGTACTTGGTAATACAATCTTGAAGAGAGCAATTGTCAACTTTGAGGTTGATATGTTAGCATGTTTTATTTGCTAAGGGACTTCGTGAAAGAACTTACAAGGTTTGTAAGGAAGGAGACTTGGAATGCTAGAGAGTTCCTTGAAATGCATTTGTTGGATGATTACAAATGAGACCTCTTTCTTTAAGAACTTCTGTTTCCTTTAACGAGAATTATAGATACAAAAACATCCTGAAACTAGGAATATCCTAGGTACTACTACAAAATACCTAGGATACATTTAACATCAAAAGAAAATTCTTGAGGAATCTATGTGATACAAGACTAGCGTCCTTGAGTATTCTGCATAACTCATGACTTCCCTAGAGATTCTAGAAAGTCATGGGTACTTTCTGGTGAATGCTTGGAAGGTTTAACTGAGTGTGCAGGTAGACTAACCTCACTCAAACTTGGCTACCCCTAACAAATTCACAACCTTTTTTTTCACAGTTAGCTATAGCATGTATAAACGTCCATGTGCCATACACAATGAGTCTCTTAATTGAAAATCATGGCTGTTGGCATGTTGACATCAGATTCAAACTTAATTGCTGTTATGCTTTTTTTACAAGTATTACGGGACTGTTGTATGCATCTGACTTCATGAAACAGTCGCATATTCTTTCAATGAGAAATTGACATCATTTTGCGGTTAGTTAGCCATCCACGTTTTATAGATCACCTGGTTAGAAAGATGATGCTTCATGATTTTGTTAAAATTGGCTCTTTGATTTTGTTAAAATTGGCTCTTTGATTTTGTTTGAAGAATTATTTATCTCCATCAGTATCATACCTTGTTTTCTATGGTCTTTTCATACCTTTGCTTAACGCTAAAAATATTTTGCTTAACAGGGACCGTGGGTTTCTTGTTCCTGATGAAGTCTACGAGGTAAGATCACTGCCCACTATCCATTCTGGAGCTCTGTCAAGTCCCTAACATAATCTACCAAGATGAAAATGAAACAAATTAGAAGTCATTTTTTGTGCTACATCAGTGATCTTAAAGAAAATTTCAACCAACTTGAATTGATCTCATAGTTTATTGGCTTATGCTCCCTCCATCCCATTATCAAATGAGCTTTTTTGCTTATTTAATGCGGAATAGAGGCAGTATTGATCATTGTGGACCCTTGTTTTCTCAATTAAGTCTTGCTCGAGAAACCTACATGAGAAGGATCTACTGTGTCCATTCAATGCCCATATTCATTGCAAGCTATTATGCTACCTTCCATTTTTGAAAGTTTGCATGAGATGGTTCACTCTCTTCCTTCTCTTATAGTTTGCTCTCAATAATAGGCTTTGCTGAAAATTGACATCTCTTTGGATTCTCCAGCATTTTACACGGTCTGTGAGGTATGGATCATGTATATACTGTTCATCTGATCATATTATGTACTAGACTTGGACTATGAGCCCGCTTAGCACCTAATGAGTTTTCTTTACGTTGAGTTAACCCGGCAGGTTCGCCAAGTATAAACCTAAGGGGAAAAATTGTACTTCATCCCATGAGAATAGGGCCAATCTACATTTTGGGATGCCCGTATCAGTTTCATACTATTTTTGTTTGGCAAATCTTAAGCTAAAAGTAGGTATTTGTCCTTTGTCTCGCAACAAATTGTTGACGCATCGGTTTTGGTTCTCAAGATCCTTTATTGCAGACATCCAACTAATATTCAAACACTTCCATTATAACTATTTGGAGTCAAACACTTCCATTATAACTATTTGGAGTCAAACACTTCCACTAATAGTCAAACTGTTTTCTCTACAAATATGATATCAGCATAATATTTTTGTTTGGTATCTGTTGTGATGATATACAGAGCTTTGATAAACAAAAGGACGGAAGATTTCGGCTGGATGATCTCATCTCTCTTTGTATATTTGTACAATCTGCTCGGTAAGCAGAGCATTTACCTTGAACTCATAGAACATCGACATTAACATGAATAGAAGTAGATAGGGTACCCAAACAAATATCTGGTATATCTCCTTTATCTCTTTCTCCTTTCATCCCCAAAAACTGTGTTATCCGTCTGTGTAGTTACTGTTAGAGTCCCACATTGACTAGACTTGGACCATTTCTTTTCTCAAGGGTTCTTTTGAAGAGTAATCTAATGGGGTTCCACATATTCTTACATGGTATCATAGCCAAGTTCAACCACTTTAGGGACTCGGCACTCTTGGACAATTTGTGTTCGTCTAGCCTCCATTGGAGGACGTGTTAAGAGTCACACATCGGCTAGACTTTGGACTATTTTTACTCGATTATTATGGGACATCCAGAATGGAAATTTTTAGCTATTTTTCTTGAAGAAGTATCATTGTTGCATCTTGTCTTATAACATGCAGGAACCTTTTTAATTCTTTCGATACGAGTAAGCAGGGCAGGGTGACTCTTGATCTTAATCAATTCATCTACTGCAGTGAGTCTCCCTTTTTTTAGAATTTTCCGTTGTTACCTTCTTATCACTTTTGACCTTGAACTTTGTTTGTGAATTCTTTGCAGCTGCAAACTGTAGAATATGAAGCACATATCAAAATCCCAGATGAAGAATAGCTTAATTTCTAGAATGAACCCCCCCCCCCCCCCCCCCCACAAATATATATATAGGTGTTAATGTGTTTCTGTATTTGTTGTGATTCATTTGATAATATTGTTATAAGGGGGGGTTATTTGCTGCATTTTTTTTGACACAAAGATCGCTTACCTTTTGTTCAAGAAGTATGCTTGATGTAGCTTTATGTTTAATGTGTGCAAGTGCAACAAACAAGAATTGCTATATTGTGAAAATGTTTTGATATTTGAACTAGACTTTCAAATGCGTTTCTTGTTGCTATAATATGCATCAATTATCAAAAGGAAATTTTGAGGTTAATGATGCCTCAGCTATCAAAATCATGCTCAATATTTCGTTGATTATCGACACAAAACCCAACCCTAAGGAACCATATCTTCATGTTTCTTAGTTCTCACTCATAGGATTAGGAACCTTGTTAGGTTTTTCTTTTTGTTATATGGAGAAGGTATCAACCAAGGAGATATACTGCTCAATTTTAGTTTGATCTTGTTGTGTAGGCTTTAATCATAAACACATCAAGATAAGGCGTCCCTACGACATCAATCTCACCACCATTATTGGTGTCCCATTAGCAGAAGTGCAGTGTCCAGCTCAAATCAACCAGGAACCATCATATCAATTATATCCAAAGTTACACCACAAACTTTTAAATCCCACAACACGATAATAACAAGAACAATTATTATTATTTCACATTTGATCATCATCAAGGTTCAATAAATAAGGTCAAGTATCCGTCCTAGTTTTATCACCCATAAATTCCCAATTATCCACTCACTTAATATGAAGTGAGAAGTCACACAACTGATCGGAGTTCTCCGGTTTCTAATGCGTGCTTTCGGTGTTGTGATAGAACTGATGGAACTTTGATAGCTTCCACTCGTTTTGCCAACTCAACACCATTGGGTTCCACTTGTTCGCCAACTGCACCAACTACCGTCTGCAGGATTTGCAACGGATCACCATGGCTCACTATCAAGATTGCACATCTGCAACATCACATCGATGATATTAGTTTCCTAACATTTCTTCTACTGCTTTATGCCCCTTGATGGGCCCATCTCCATTTCATCAAATAAATAGGACCCACAAAATGGAATTTTTAGAGTCCCATATCGGCTAGACATAGACTGTCAAAACCTGTATATGTGCAAAACTCCCCTCTCACTATAAGTGCTATTTTTAGAGAGAGATACAAAAGGAGGGAAGATTTGTTAGGAACCCAAATATGATTAGGAAACCCGGGAACCAACAATAGTGTGCCACGAGTCCCTTTTTAGGATGAATATTCATCATGAATATAGAGGTATTATTCATCATGAATCACACGTTCATGATGAATCTGAAGGTGTTGGTGTTATTCATCATGAATATGTTACAACATTCATGAAGAATATGGTGTTGTTCATCATGAATCTGTTACATAGATTCATGATGAATAAAGGAACAAAAGTGTTGATGCAATTTTATTTACCCTCTAAATTCGCGCTCAATCTGTACCAACACATTCGTGAGTCTAGAAACAACATCAGCAACACTTTCCCCGCCTTCTGTCTTCGAAAATGGATCTTTTTCATCAAGATCCCATATTTCTGCATACTTTTCATGAGAAATGCTAGATTCAAATACACCAAGATAACATGATGTTTGTAACAACATATACTTTTGAAGCCAAAACCAATTTTTAGCTTACTTTTTCATGAGATTGAAGCTCAAATGAAGGGCCAAAGTAACGCTCTCGAAGATCTTCAAAAATCTGTATACCAAAAGATTAGACTACAAGTTTAAATTCTAGAAAAATTGCCAGAGATATTGTCCTCTTTCCAAAATAAAAAAAAGTTTCCAACTTTTAGGATCAACATTTTTTATGATGCATGTGCTTCTTCAAACAAAAGAAAAGATATAACAATACACCTTCTATCCCAAACTGGTTCAGGAAGGCTAAAACTGAACCCAAACAGAAATTGAAGAAAGAAATGAACTCCCTATGGCTTTCTGACAAAAATAACATTTTTGGCATGGTGCAATGATGCAACAAACCCGGAAATTTATACAATTGCACCTTTTAGTTGTATCATCATACAATTAGCTAAATTAAAAGAAGAATCTAATTGCTAACTCATCGTCGTCTTTCTCTTCTCAACGTTCAAGTCATCATCATCTATTTTCTCACTAGGTCTTTAGCATGTTCACTACTTGTCTTTGTTTGCTTGTGATTGCTCAATTGCAAAAGACTATGCCTTTTAGTTAATTTACCTATTGCGTTTTGTGTAACCAAACGAGCCCAATATATCCCACCACTAGGTGGGGTCAAGGAGGTTAAGATGTAAGCAGACTTGACTTCTACCTCAAAGAATAGAGCAGTTGTTTCCTTGAAGACCCTTGGCTTATCAAAAGCGTGTGAAAGAGAGAAAGGCAGGTACATCAAATAGGCACTTCAAAATAGAACTATTACCATATGCTTTTATGTTCTAACCTTTTAGTCTAGAAAAATGGAGGGCATTGTGCGCAATGGTTTGCTTTTGTGTTGGAAACATCGTTTATGTTGTGCTCATCTTGTTTGCTTTTCATCTTTTGATGGAAGGTTAATGCTTTTTGGTTTCATGCAATGAGTGTTAGAAGAAACTTGCAAGTGTCACTGTGCATTGCATTACCTTGCATTGAGGTCCTTCTAAATCAATATTCAAAACTGAAGCAACCACTTTTGCTGTGTGAGTTGTTCTTGCAAAGGGAGAATAACAAATTCGTACATTTTCAATTGGTATGCCATTTTCCTTGAGCTCCTGCACACATTTTATATTTCATTTATACGAACAAATGAATCTTGGCCATAATTGGTAGCAATAAGTTGTAAAATGGCAGCAGGCAAATAGGTCATCAAGAGAAAGTTCAAATGAGAACCATAAATATTTTGAAAACCATGAGAACCAATCTATGCATATATAGGGGCAGGTCCCATTAGGAACCTAAAATTGATTAGGAACCAAGAACCATCAATAGCGCGACATATGACATATTCATCAGGAATATGGGCGTGTTATTCATCATGAATGTGCGACTCACTGACGAATAATATGTCCATATTCAACTTGAATGTGTGATTCAAGGATGAATAGCACGTCCATATTTCACCTTGAATGTGTGATTCATTGATGAATAGCACGACCATATTCACCATGAATGAGTAATTCATTGATGAATAACACTTCCATATCATATTTGAATAGGGAGACATGGGGCGTTGTGGGCAGTTCCCGGGTTTGTAATCAATTTTGGGTTCCTAACATAACTTTCCTATGTATGTATATATATGTAAACGCATTGATGGTTCAACTTTGAAATTAAAACATGAAAACTTTGGAAAAGTATAAACAGCATCGCTCACCTTTAGGAATGATTCTCCAGCCAATTGAGCTTGATCGATACCTTCTGAAGCTAACTTGTATTCCTCAAGCTTGCCATTATCCTGTTAACATGCTCAAAAATATGCATGCAACTGAAAACACAAATTCTTCGATAACTTTACCTCATAAGCAATTCCAAATGCGCTTAACATATTATTACCGAAATTAGCCCATCTTTACCTTCCGTAATCAGATGGATTTCATTCTTAACTTCCAGATCGTGCAAATTTAGGTTTCAGACAAAAAAAATGTTCCAAAGCAAAAACTAGGAATCCAATAGCAGTTGATTTTGGATTATATGAAACATAATGACGCAAATGTATCTCATAATCGAATCTGGTAGAAATAAAAACTCAATCACAGAAAAGATGTAAAAATCAATAGCAGACAACATAATAAAGCAATTAAAGAAAAGGAAACTAACCATGGATGAAACAATCAAACCCTTTTCATTAGGAATGCTTTTACCATGTCTCAGTACCCAGTATCTGTTTCCAAAATACCCCATTTTTACACTCTCACTCGCCAACTGTTCTGAATTCCAGATGTGATTAGGGGGTGGCCGATAATAGGGGGCCCGATAATCCAGAGAACGACGTCGTAATGTCATAACCTGGTCAGCGAAAAAGATCCAATAGAGAAATTTATATAACATGGACCGGTTCACTAAAAAAATTGTTAGTCAACCATAAGGGTGGTGTTTGATTGGTTTGATTTTAGCTTCAAAGTTAAAAGTATCAGAAGGTCTTAGGTTCAAATCCAAGGAGAAATAAAAATCCCTTTGTAATCATGGATGTTTAAATGCGATGACTTCAAACTATCTGCAAAGCAGATGGTCGTCCTAAGATTAGTCGGCGCGCATAGATATCCAGGTTAATAAAAAAAAAAGTTAGTTTTAATCTTAACCATTTAAACTAATATCGAGATTAGATTTCAACCGTTTAAACTAATGTATTTTACAGCTGTATATTGAATTACCTTTTCAATCTTCTATCCTATGTTCCACACCCCTCCAAGTTTCACATATTCCCCCTCTCTCTCTCTCTCTCCCACAATGTTATAATTAAACTATTTTAATTTATAAATTACATTTAATTCAAATCACATCTTTTATTTTTTTCATTTTTTATTTTACATTCTTACTATATTAATATAGAAAATCGTATATAAATCAAAATATATTAAAAAAATATTTTTTTGTTTGCAAATTATAATATTAAAATCGTGTCGTACATACCTTCAAAATGATGCTAATATTAAATATTTTTTTTATTTAATCATACGAATAAATATTATGAATACATAAAACAGTGATCCTTAAAAATATTATTGTTAATACATACGATGCAACTCTAACACCTCTCGGTTAGCATTGAAAATGGGATGATACAAATCCTTTTAAGCTTATTATGTAGAACCCCTAACCTCCACATCTCCCTCTTAACTCAATTCTTTCCTAAATCTGAATTTTCTCCTTCAATCCTATGTCCTCTGTCCCCCACAATACATATAATAAGGACTATTTGTATTCTTCACAATTGTAATCATTCTATGCATCAGCAGCGGCAATTCTGCTGCCTTCGCTTTCCGCCCGACCAATCTTTGAACGAACCTAGCTACGGTGGTGGGTTTTTCGCGATGAAGTCTTTGAGACCCTTTTCACGACCCGGTTAGTAACAACTCGTTTTCGGATGCATTTTGAGGTACATAAACAATGGTTTTTAAACAGTCATTTATACATAAAAATTGTTTTTAAAAGTTTTTGTTAAATACTTTATAATATAATATAGATATGTAAATAAATTATATAAATTGTTAAAATTAAATAATAGTATAAATAAAATTGTGTCTTCTTATGTAATAATCATGTCAAAACAAATGCATTAATCGAATATTTTATGTAATGAATATGTCAACTTAAAAAGCTAATATAATTTAATTCGTGTAATTTCTTAGAGTTGAATTAGTTGGTTTTCTTGTAATGTTATATTTATTATTAAAAAATATCACTCTAATTTTAACAATATTTCATAAAATAAAATATTTTTAAAGATTTTTTTAGTGTGCACTTGAAGTTGGGCTTTTTATTATGTTAATTACCCTACCAATGTAGTGTTGTGATTAGAGATGATTCATGAAATTAAAGAACATAAACCAAATTTGTGATTAATCATTCAATACCACATGTATGTAGTACAAAGTAGGGTATGGTAGCTGCCAAATATGGGCATTAGTCGATTTCACCATATCTTTGAAACCCATGCCCCTTATCATAAAAATAAAATGGTTAAATGCATGAAATATCAACCTACTTTCACAAATTTTCTTATTATAGCATTATACTTTTGTTTTTATTTATTACAACAATGTACTTTCAAATTATATTTTATTAAGACATTGTACTTTAAAAAATCTACCCATAATAGCAATGGATAACCTGTTACCTTTTAAACCGGTTAAACCTTTGACTTTTTTTGCTTGTGTGGCTTTAATGAGATGATGTGGATGACACATCATTTTGATGATTCAACTAAAATTAAAATAAAAATCTATTTCAAATTATTATTAATAATTTTCATTTTTGATTGATATGATCTAAAAAAACATTTAATTTTTTTTACTTTTTCTTATTAAGTTACATGCAAATTAAATATTTTTAGAGTAAAATATTTATTAAATAAATATGAAACATTATTTTCGAGATATATTTTGTTTGTAAAAAATGTAATTTTGCTATTTTTACGTTGTTCAAATAAATACATATATTTTAAAGTTTTTTTTAAAATATTAACGAAATAAATTGTTATC